TGTGCATGAATCAAAGATATATCACCCCAAAAATGGTTGATTGGGCGAAAATCATTTCTTTTTTTGACCTTGACCTTTTTCGCTCAGAAAGGCATTCACGCTAAATTTGGGTTCCCCGGGCACCTCTAATAAATAACCTATCTAACGCTGGGCTAAGTCACCAAATAAACATGGAAGATTGAGAGAACATTTGAAACGTTCGTTGAGATATTGCATTATTTGCATTACGTTGCGTTTTTGTCGTGCCATGCCATTAAAATTGCGTTTTTAGACTTCCACAAGTTTGTTTCAAAGACTACAGTTGCCCAGAGATAACCAGAACGTTGAAAAGTCCGTCGTGAAATTCACGTGCAATAAATTGTTTTTTTTTAAGTCACGTGCAATAAATTACATTTTCTGAGTCCCTCCAATTACTTTTTGACCCTTGCCACCTATTCCCCCACCAGAGTGAATTACAGCACTAATATTTGTTCCCTGGGAATCAAATAATACAAACGTTGTTACAAACCAATTTTCGAACTGCATTTATTTTTGTTGTAACTTTACATTTACAAAACATATCCCGTAAGAAGTTTCCCAATATTCTGTCTTATTTTAACAGATTTCTCTGGCATTTGCATAAGAAAACTAGCAAAGACGGTAAATGTTGCATTATGGTCGCCATGCTTATTTATTCTCAACAATACCTTCACTAGAGTGAAATACATTACGAATGTTTGTTCCCCCTTGAGTCTGTAATATAACTGATTTCATGTCCCTTTGGACCTCACTGGTCACTACGTTTCCCGGAATCTTACTAATATTGATTGGGTCACAATCACTGTAGCTATCGCCGAGATAAATAGTTTCTCACCCCCTTGGTTATTATCACCGGATTTTTGTCGCCGGAGTGATTCACTTCCTAAAATCGAAATTAGTTGATTTTTGGCCTCATCCCTTTCTCACTCGGAAATGCAAGGGCGATAAGACTCGATATTTAATGATGATTTGACGACTTCTTTTGTTTCGAGTTCGTTGTATGCCTAGAAACATAGCAAGGTTGTTATTTTGGCGAATATTGAACATGATATGTTTCAAAAAGGGGTTTAATATGCCAATCGAACAATTTTAACAATTCCCTACTGGAACAACTCCTGTATAAATAATCCTTTACTCTCCAAAATTTGACAATGGCAGTAGCCCCAAATGGACTTCCTGTTCAGCACGTCTTTGATTGTATCAACAATGTTCACGTTGACGTATGTAAAGACACACTTGAACTTGACAATATTCACTCTCAGACCACTAAGCAAATAGAAGGAAATACCAGTGATTCTCAATTGCTATGTTTAAAATCATATAGCTGGTGTTGATGGCGACAGATTGTTTTGGTTCTAGGGCTCTCTGACGTGTTCTTGGTCGCATTTTGTATATACCAGTCAGACACTGATAAGTAAGTAAACAGTCCGGGACATAGTCAACATGGGACTCTGAATAACAGGTAGAACCTGAAGATGGTGTCTTCATACAGCAATGAATTCTCATTACAATCTTATGTTTCCGATTAATCAGACATTTATGCTGTATAGGGACTGGAAACTGCCAAGTACACAGTGTAGTCAAATCAGTAAGCAAAAGTTACCATTGTCCTTATGGTATACATGAAAATTTAAAAAAAAAAAAAACGTAGCCCCAAGGGCAAGTTGTCAATCTCTAATATTGCTAAACCACCAGTTGTGAGTTTTAAATCTCATTATTAGGATTTGCGCATGTTTTACATTACATTATAATGAGGAAAAATAATGATTTCTTTTGTCCAAACTATATAATAAATTCTTCAATTAATATTTCATGGGTATTTTTGTTAATGACATAAAACTCTCAATATCTGATGAAGGTACCAGTTACTGCAACGAAGCCCTACTCAAAGCTCATCAATGCGAAATCCACTCACAGCGAAATCCACTTATCGTTAAGCTACTAGTATGATAAACATATGTTTGCAGAGGGGGCGGCACGACATTTTGCATGAGGGACGAGATCAGAAATCTAGACCCCCTGAAATGCTATTTCCTGCATTTTGCGAGGCAGATTTTGCTGACAAAAAGGGTTTCAGCTTGATTGGGGGGTCGACCCACCCCACCCAACATTTTTCGGGTGGGCGACCACACCCCCTACCCTCCGGTACTGCCGCCACTGTGCCTGGATGCATGTCACCCATGGTTAAACTCAGTCATTGAATACAATACCAATTCATGCCAAGGCTACAAGCAATTATGCAAAAGTAGTTAGGGAGCCACGTACGTGAAAAGAAAGCGTGTCTAATCCTTTCACCATTATATGCAAATATTACATTGGCGTTCAATATACACTACGAAAAGTCACAGTTGAAACATGTTTATTCAATATTACTGTTCACTGGATGAATAAACTAAAACATAACAATCCGCTACGAAGAGAAATTGGTCAGCATGCATTTTAAAAATATTATACATATTACTTTTAGTGTAATCACTTATAATCGACTTTCAAGGGCAAACAATGTAATGACGTTCCGTTGGTAATATAATAACCCAAGTATCAAATCTCGGTCACAGAAAGGTCGTAGATTTCCGGCTTCCATTGAAGGCATGACACAAACTATGTCAAATAAAATATACTACACTATGTCTCAACTTACATGTAAGATATACATCACGTGATTGGTGCCAGTTTAAATCATATCAACTTTTTGCTAAAATAAACAAATACGAAACCTAGAGTCGGTCAATGGCCGTTATCTGGGTTAATAAAAACCACGTGATCATGGCTAATTGTGGTATTCACCCCAAAGACTGTTTACGTGCAATTAGGACCGTATGTGGAACAAGGGGTAAGAGGTTATCTCGATCCGTATGTATAAATGAAATCAGAAAGTGCGAGGGTCGTGCAGATAAAGTTGTTTTTTCTTATGCAGCGGGTGAGTACAGCTCCTTCTTTCATTTGTAACAAAGCATTTTTTTTCGTTATATAGAAGGGCGACTTTTCAATATGTTCTAATGCGCTAATTGTCAAGTTTGGCAAATTACAAAGTATTTCTGTGATTTGACAGCGTAATCAAAGCCAGCAGAATACCTGGTCTTATGTTATATATTTGTGGTTGGTCATCGTTTAAACCGCCCATAACATGATATAAAACGTTGTTTTACCCTAGGCTAGGCTATGGCCTCGCAGCCTGACACCTTTAACAAAAATGGGAAGTGGAACGGCTGGAGGGCATTCAGAGGCATGTGACAAGGTGTAGTTGAACGAAGAAAACTGTCTTTTGATGAATCCTTTAGTACATGTTAATGTGACGAACGTGGACGTAATCATAAATAATATTTGTCACCGACCGCTCCTCGCGCATATAGACTTCTTTTGATCTGACCAGAACTGCCAATCTAATATTGATTCGTTGTCTTGCCTCTATTCAATACATTAGTAACTACAGTAATGACGTACTCTACATGTACTATTGTTTGATTTCATTACAGTCATGTGCGTTAGAATTTGTGTGTACGTGAGCCTGTAAATTTGAGCACCCCACGCAAGATCGCATATCCGAACTGTTTGCATAACCAAACACGAAGCATGTCCCCCTAACAGTACGGACAATCGACGTTCTACTGTATTTCTCTTTTTGTATTTAATCCGTGCATTTGTATGTCTTTGTTTTGATAATGGTAGGGAATGGTTTTCGAGCTATGATTTTGAATCACCTGTCCCCCGTATCCTCATTTACTCCATATACGTTTGTCAGTGTCGGGTATAATAAGTTCATATTTCCAGCTCGACAACAAAACAACACGTATACTGTATCAACTTCGAGCACGTCGGCCACATCCTGCTTACTCGGAAATTACCGCTTATTCATCGGCTAGTAAACGAAAAAAATACGACTGGTTACATGAACTTCGAGCCCGTCGGTCACATCCTGCTTACTCAGAATTATTACTAGGTCGGTCAACAATAGTTATCTTAACATATTTTGGTGTAACTCTATAAACTTTTATTTTAGGCAAATTAGCCGTGCTGTGTCCACAAACTAGAGGAAGTTGTTTTATTTGTTTCGTTTGATGTAATGGGTGGCCAGAACGTAACTGAAAGGAACTCCACTATGCTAACCAATCTGCAGTTAGTGGTCATCTCGGGCCTGTAATAAATGCATGATTGTGATAGAAATAAACTATTGAAAAGTTGTAATGCAAGGTATGATCACACACAGGACAGCATAATATAAGATACCAATATACGTATAAGACAGCGTAGTAAAGGATAAAAACACACCACAGAAGACAACAGCGCAACATAAAATACGAACACACACGCAAGACAGATACAAATATACACATAAGCAAACATTATACAAGTTTTTCTTTGATTTTATAGAAACATTTCAATGGTAGACAGACAATCAGAGCAGCCTAAATTTGGTGCAGCAGAGAGACACAACGGTCATACTACAACTGACGATATTGAAATGGGGCAGGTGAGTCATCACTATACGTATACGTAGTAGTGATAGCAAGAAAACTAACGTACATTTTCAGACTAGATTACGTGATACCATGAAGTTACTCAGGGCTTACGAGTTGAATTTAGTTATATTCAAGGAGTGGGATTCTGCTTTCACCTATAACCGTTTTTAGTTGAATACTGACTAACACTATTTTTTTTCATTTCGCGTACAAGCAGTCTTTGCAGTGTTCTCATGTTGGTAAAGTTCGCTATGGAAACCAAATGCATTTAATTTACTCCCCCTCCTCGTACACGAAAGGTCATGTACCGTACTTATTGCTAAATCAATATTAATGTCTTTATTACTTTTTATTTGAAATTATTATCAACCAGTATTATAAACTATTGACAAACTTCCAGTCTGACTTGCCTCGTATTTGCTACCATAATATTTCGAAGCTGCCAACTAACATTTTAACGGTGTTTGTGCGTGTGCGTGTCTGTGAATTGGTTTGAACTGGTTTGATCAAAACATGTTTACGATTTGCGTTTCCTTCCGGCTAAATGTGGGGAGTGTTTGGAGTATGAGATCTTGGTAAACACGAATTTAACACAGCTTACCATCTCTGTATTTGTATTGTTATTATGTTTATTAATTTATATTGTAATTTCGGAAGATAAATTGGATAATCATGTTTCCCCAGAGAATATTATTTCAGGGAAGAGAATTTTTCACGATTCTGGTCAGTGGGAGTGTGGGATCACCAGTGTAGCCAGTGGGAGTGTGGGATCACCAGTGTAGCCAGTGGGAGTGTGGGATCACCAGTGTAGCCAGTGGGAGTGTGGGATCACCAGTGTAGCCAGTGGGAGTGTGGAATCACCAGTGTAGCCAGTGGGAGTGTTGGATCACCAGTGTAGCCAGTGGGAGTGTGGGATCACCAGTGTAGCCAGTGGGAGTGTGGGATCACCAGTGTAGCCAGTGGGAGTGTGGGATCACCAGTGTAGCCAGTGGGAGTGTGGGATCACCAGTGTAGCCAGTGGGAGTGTGGGATCACCAGTGTAGCCAGTGGGAGTGTGGGATCACCAGTGTAGCCAGTGGGAGTGTGGGATCACCAGTGTAGCCAGTGGGAGTGTGGGATCACCAGTGTAGCCAGTGGGAGTGTGGGATCACCAGTGTAGCCAGTGGGAGTGTGGGATCACCAGTGTAGCCAGTGGGAGTGTGGGATCACCAGTGTAGCCAGTGGGAGTGTGGGATCACCAGTGTAGCCAGTGGAAGTGTGGGATCACCAGTGTAGCCAGTGGGAGTGTGGGATCACCAGTGTAGCCAGTGGGAGTGTGGGATCACCAGTGTAGCCAGTGGGAGTGTGGGATCACCAGTGTAGCCAGTGGGAGTGTGGGATCACCAGTGTAGCCAGTGGGAGTGTGGGATCACCAGTGTAGCCAGTGGGAGTGTGGGATCACCAGTGTAGCCAGTGGGAGTGTGGTCATCAATGTGGGATCGCCAATGTGGCCAGAGAGAGTGCGGGAGTATCGCTGTGCCCAGTTGGCGTATGACATCACCAGTGTGAGACCAAATCAGCTACAAATTATTTTGGTGTCGATAATAACAGTGGAATAAATACATATACAACATAACTATTTGTAATAAACATAAAAATGTTGGTATAACTAAAGCCATGGACGGCATAATACCATTAAATAGCACAAATAGAAAACGATCATTGTACACTTATTTAATGCATGTACTGGTTTCATATGCTATACGAATAAATGATCACGTAAAAGGTCCCATGCAAAGCTTTAAATAACAATTAGTTATACAATGGTAACAAGGATCTTTTGTACATTGGCCATTTTCGTTGACTTGAGTGATATTTATAATAAAATAGGAAGTAAGTCAAGTGTTTTCTAAGATCATAGATAACAGTGAATTAGATTGCAAGCAACATGACATCAAAGGGAGTACAGTAGAACCACAGGGAGCCCAGGAACTATGATCAACTGTACGCACTCCCTATGAGCGGGGGGGGGGGGTATCGGCTAGTATCTAGTGTAAGAAATAGACAAGGGATGAAGGCTCCAGTCAACTCACATTTTTTAAACTCGAAAAAATAGACGAAAAGAATGAAAAATAAAATCTAAAAAAAATACCAGGTTGAAGAATATTAGTTGCTCCTTCGAATTTCGCCAAAGCCTTACCTACATTTTACTCATATCTGCAGAAACAATCAAAAAACTACACAAATTGGCTCCATTTAGGAATTCCTAAC